TATATATATATTTATATATATATATAACTGTAGGTCTCAAAAATATCACCAGCAGCCCAAATTTGCCTTTATTTCAGGAGTAATTAAGAAGATTATAATTCTTAAAGAAGAGCTACCAAATTTCACTCCCTAGCGGCAGTCTCAGGGCTCACTAAAGGTGCCCGAAGCTGGCTAGCAGTAGGGCTCGGCCGGTTCGCGTGCCCGGCGCCAACCGCTGCCTGTGAGTCTGTGTCCTTGACTCACTCATTTCCCCGCTTAAGGGAGGATAATGAACTCCTTTCTTTTCCTAATTTGTAAAGATATCTTCTTTAGTCAGTGCTGAACTGGGGATGGCGGTGAAGAGGCCTGGGTCATGAACCTGAGGAGGTCAAGGCTCTGACCTCTGCTTGAGTCTCTCTCATAAAACCAAGGGACGGTGGGTAACTGTGTCTACGGGTTTCTCCGGTTTCCCAGAAAAATGGGCATGCGTGTGTGCCTGTGTGTTCAGTTCCATCCTACAGTCCTCCCAGAGGTCTCCAGAAAGCGTGGCTTTGTCTTCTCCAGGGCGGACGAATCCTAGAGCAATCCGCAGAGCCTTGGGTGCAGTTTCCCGCGGCCTCCCAAGTCCACGGAGCCGGGCACCCTGGCCCAGGGCAGCCCTGACGGCCCAGGCGCGGTACCCATACAGCCAGTAGGTGTCGCTGTTCCCCTGCCGGCGGGAGCCGGGAGCCCCGCGCGGGCCCCCAGAGCCACTCAGCCTTCGGCTCCCGGCAGGTTCGCAGACCCACCCGAGCTCCCGAGAGAGGGCCGCTCTACCCGCCCCCGCCCCGGGACCGTGCCCGTGCTCACCTGGCCACTGCCGTAGCGACACTGCCGGCCTAAGGAAGTACCTTCGGGGAGAGAAAGGAGAGACGGGTCTGTTGGGGCGAAACCTGGGCCCCGACGGAAGCGGCTCCAAGCCGGCTTCTCTCGTGGTTCCCAACTCTCCCTCCTTTCTCTTCACGTGCCATGGGCGGCGGTGGGGCACTGAGGGCCTCCTGGTAAAATCCGAAAAGGGGAGATTCTACCGGGGTTCCATATGGGCTTTACGAATAAACAAGAGGTTGAAAATCCCAGCTTCGTGGGAGCTAGTTACAGAAAGAGTGGATTGGTTTCAATATTCTTGCCTCGAAAAAAAAAAAAATGGAAAAAGAAGAAGAAGAAGAAAAAGAAAAGAAAGAAACCTAGGCCTGGCTACATGCATGGGCTACATACCACCTTGTACACACATATGAACGCAGAAATGCCGGGTAACCGCGATCGCCGTCCCCTCCCCAGGCCCAGGAAGGAGCCAGTATTTGGAATGTAGTTGTCTTTCCCAAAAGCGTTGCTTGCCAAATATTATTTCCTCTTGGAAAACCTAGCCGTTTGCGAATCTGGAATCTGCATTGAAATGCTAGGTATTCAGAATTCTGCGCCCTTCTCTGGCGTCCTGCGGCTCCCTGCCTTCGGCCTCAGTGTGCCGCGAAAGAGATTATTAATCAGAGGCATTCTTTTTGTATGTGTTTCAAAAGAAGGGCATTTGGCTTATGAATACCGAGAGGGACATTTACAATGGGCACATCCTATAGGTGACTGGAGATTTTAGTATGATTCTGGTTGTTTTGTACAGGGAAATCACTGCTCTGATTTGAGAATAGGGAGAGGGAGACTGTGTTGAATAGGCTAAATTCAGAATCAGGTGTTATTCAGAGTTAGTTTGCAAAACGGAACTGGCTATGTGTTTAAATTAACGTCTAAAATCATATCTTCAGTCAAAATGGGGTGACATTTTGCAGTAAATTTTTTTAAAGATTCACATATTATTTATAAAATTTGGGTTAAAGGAATAAATTCGTGAAGAAGAAAAACATAACAAAATTTGAAACGGGAAGAAAAAAATTTTTCACTTAAAGTCCAAAATATTTCGGAACACCTCTTGTTCCTGGCCCTGGGCTCACCATTTCAGAGGACATGGTTGGAAAACTGTCAAGTCGTTAAGGCAAGCCGTAATTTTTACCGTGAGGCAGCCAAGATCATCTTTAAATGTCATATACTTTTCGCTATGTTTCATAAAATGAGCTTCTTTCTGTTAAGTCCTATATCTGTTATACAATTCTAAATATTTCTGATTGAGACGGCAAATTAATCATTCGGTGACGTGGTGGTGAGGGGAGAAACACGTGTCTCATTGGAGGTTGTGAAGTTCAGTGAGGTGGTATTTTTAGCTTGAAAGGTCCAAATTCAGATATTTGGGTATTTCTCCCCCTCCCACCGTTTCCCCACCCCGTCCCCATTTTACTCTCTCTTTAACTCAACCCTTTGGGTTCCCTGTCTCCTTTTTCTCTCCCTTTCTCGCTTCTGTCTTCTCTCTCCCCTTTATAGCGCCTCTCCCCTTTTCTCTCTCTTCTTTTCCTCTTCTCTTCCCTCTCCTCTTATTTATTGTCTGATTCCATGTCAAGTTAATATAAAAGTAGCAACTGGGACGCCCAGTACCCTTAGCAGACCCTCTCTCCACCGTGCGCAGGGCACTTTGGGGAGGTGTCTGTCGCTGCCAGGTTACCGGCCAGAGTGGTGGCTCTTGGTGCAGGGCATGCTGCTCTCGGAGGAGTTGGGGTCTGCGCGGGGTTGCGGGGCTTATTCAAATACCTCCCGCTGCTGCTGTGATTCGCAGGGACTCGGCCTCCATATGGTAATGCGGGGCGGGGGGTTGGGGGAGGCGCAGAAGGGAGGGGAGGGGAGGATGGGGGTGAGGGCGGGGTGGGAGGGGGCTCCGGCACTGCGCGCTCGGCTGCCGGGCTGGGACAGAGCACCCGGACCCGCGGCGGCAGCGGCAGCGGCAGCGACGCTACCCACCCTCTTCCCCAACACCCACCGAGCCAGCGAACCACCGAGCCACGGGCCCTCGGGGTAAGCCACAGCGCGCACACGGCAGCGACGGTGACGGTTCACACGCTTCGGGTTACTACCATGCGCCAATAAGGGAGATTAGAAACAGAAAAGGAGATTACAGAGAGATCAGAGATAAGAGGTGTACCTCTCTGTGTTCCTTGTCACACAGCGCGCGCGCGCACATACACACGCATCTGTACACACATGCATGCTCAGACAGCCGTACACGCACGCGTTCCTTGCTACTGCCATCTAAATATATGCACCGACAGTCTATGCCCTGCAACGTGGCCGATGTGTTTGTCCTGATCCTACATAAACGCAGGCAGGTATGTGCGAGAGTCCAGGCAGGAACAAACAGCCACGCGCAATTTAACTGCAGCCAAACTCAAAGAGACCTTGAGCCTGCCGAATTGTTTCACTCAGCCAGGTACCCCCCAGAAACCGGCTATTCTGCAATCAGTTGTGGAATCCTGCAATTATTCATAAAATGTGCTGAAAATGTATTTTAGGAAACGTAGTCTTGCTATATATGGCAAGGTAAAGGCGAACCTGAAGGATGAGTGTGTTTCCGCTTTTTAATGTTATACGTGTAGCCATCTGACCACTTTTTATTGGGTGACATATCATATGAGCACTTTGGTGTAGGCTTGGAAAAACTACAGCCAGAGGTAAGGCTGGAAATGCCATAAGAGTTAAGGGAGCTGAAAATGGATGCTGGATAGTCCAGCATGAAAGATGGCATACGGCTTTAGGTTTGAAATCGGGGGAAATACATGTGTATATTTATACATGAAGGCCATTGGGGAAGGTTGAGTCTTGGCCTGAGTATCTGTGCAGGTAAGCCATTAATAAGAAAACTAATAATCTGTGCATGTACTTGGATTGTTTAATTGAATAAGCTGCATGTGTGCATATTTGCTGTTCTTTGAGGGTTTGCAATTATAGATTGAGTCTTTTTTCAATGATAGCTTTGGGGGAATTAAAAGGTGGAATATATATTATATTATATATAACTATATATACTATATATAATTTGGAATATATATTATATGTATACTCCAAAAGCCATCATGCTGCATAGCTATATTGCCAAGAAAGAGAATCCCATCCTATAAACAAGATTACCATTGCTTGAAATCTAAACTCAAGGCCTGTATATTTTAAGGCACATCAACTGGTTTAATATAGCCAATTGTTTTGTGTATTTTTTTCATTTCAAAGTCAGGAATCAAGGATGCTTTTCAGTCAAGATAATGTGCCTTGTTTCCAGACATATTAAGATAAAAATGAAACTCAGTAAATTTTGAATGCAGCCGATAAGGTACAACATACAACATGGTTGAAAATGTCTTCCTTGAAGAAGGCTGTCCATTGCTGTGTCTACCCATTTTAAAATATATATATATTTTTCAATAAGAAATGCTAGAAAGCAATAGGGCGGGGAATGCCGCACCTCTCAGGCAATCAGCACAAAAATTCTTTAGAAATCTTTGGAATCACTTCACTTATACACAGATTATCTCGAAAGCACTGGCCCTGAACTGTGTTTCTGCTAATTGAAGTTAATTAGACAATCAAACTTTGAGCCTTGAGCGATGGGCATTATAGCCCATCAAGGTATGTCAAGAAAGAAAGAAAAAAAATGTGTCTTTTCTTTTATGACCAAACCAGGAGGTTATACAGCTGGCATTGCATACATGACAGATGTGCATATTTGTAACCTTAAATAAACAGAAGCAGGGAGGTAACTGTTTATATTATCTAGCAAGAGACAGCAGCAGACACTCGCCAAAAAAGACAGAAAGGGACAAGAGAGACAGATAGACATAATAAAATAACAACAAAAAAAAAAAAAAAAAGAGGGAAAGGGAACCAATAAAACGACAAAACCTGAAATTTTCGCGAATTAAAAAAATGCAAATATACCTTTACATATGCATCAGTATTAAAAATAATACACGCTGGAACCAACAGGAGCGAGAGCAAGAAGCAGAGGAGGAGGTGGAGGAGAAGAAGGAGGAGGAGAGGTGGAGGAGGAGGAGGAGGAGGAAAGAATGGAGGCGCCGCGGAGCCCTGATTATGCATGGGCTAGAGCTGCCTCCTCTAACCTGTTCTTCTCCGAGCCGGGCAGCCGGCGGTCCTCAGCCGCCCACAGAACAGGAGCCGAAACAACCGTTCTCGAAGGCTACAGCGTTTATTTTTCTCTTTTGGGGGGTTTTGGCGGTTGTTTCAGGGGCTCGCCAACTGGCCCCTTTAATTAAAAGCTTCAATAAAAGGCGATCGCGCCAGGAATGCACCCGCTCCTCTTCGCGCAGGATTTGCATATTTTTTTAATGCCCTAATTTCCTTGATGTATGTAAATGTAGCCGGACGTAGAGGGAGACAGGGAGCTGACGTCAATGGACGTGACCTCGCAGCTAAACCTTGAACGTGAAGCCGGGATGGGGGAAAACACGGAGCGGCAGCCGGCGGAACCCGAGAGCGCGGGCGGCGGCGGCAGTAGCCGAGCCGAGGCCGGAGGTGCCAAAGGGGCCAGTGCCGGCCCCGGGGGAGGACAAGCCGCCGCCTTCTTTCTGCACCGCGCGGCTTTCAGACTCGCCAGCCTTCCGGCCGCACACGCAGACTCTTGTCCTGAGCTGCCAGCCCCACCAAACACACGTTCTTTTGCTTCCCTCAGAAAAGCAACACTCCCCAAAACAACAAACCAAAACCAACAGATTAAGCAAATGTTTTAGACCAATGCTCGGGTAACTTATCAGAAAGAAGACTCTGACCACGGAACATATATATTTTTTTGGCTTCTCTCCACAAGAAGAGGAGGGGGAGACCACAGACAACAGCAAATCACTCCTAAAACAAGATAACTACAATTGCTCCCTGTAGGGAGAGGTAAATCGCCCAGCCGACTGGTGAAGGCTTCTGGTTTCGGTACCTATTTACCTGTGCACTCATTACGCGCAGCGGCTTCATTAACAGCAGGGTGATGAGCGCGCGTTTTAAAGTGATGGGAGTGCCGTGGTGTGTGTGTGTGTGTGTGTGTGTGTGTGTGTGTTGGGAGGTGCTTGCGCTAGTGAGCACCGAGGTAGGCGCTCTGAGCAGAGAGGGATCAGTCTTTCCAAAGCCACGTCTGGGACTTATCTGCGGAGCCATCTAGGCCAGCACTCCTAGGTTGGGGTTCGAGTTCACCCTTTTAAAAAGAGAGGCCAGCACAGGCTTCCCCTGAACAGCCAGGTGCTTCCCATCGCATTGTTTGCGGAAGGAGGCTTGAGGTGTAAGCCATTCCGTAGCTGCCGCCTTGCCGGATTTGGCCTGGTGTTTTGCACTTAGAACTCTGCGGCCTCAGCGCGGAGGTAGTGCCTCCCTGAGACGCTGCCGAGGCCTTCTCATTCCCCTCCTTCCGCCCACGGCAGCCCTGCGCGCCGGCGTGTGCGTGCCCGCGCACGGGGCCGCTGGCACCTCCCTGTACACATCCGCCCCCTCCTCTGCTCGCCACCTTCTCTCAGGCAGCTAAGAAATGGTCCTGGGCTGCTTCTGGGCCGGAGGGCAGAGCTGCGAGCAGACAAGAAAGCGCCGGTGGCTGCGGTGGCGGCTCCTCCGCTCTGCCCTCGGCTGCCAAGTCTGCCGTTTCATCGTTCCACCTCGCAGCCCCAGCTTTGTTTTCCTGACATGCTCGTGGCCATTGGGCCCCACGCCTGCGAGGGGAGTGTGTGCGTGTGCGCGGAGGGCGGGCGCGCGCGGCGGGTGGGGGCTCTCCCGCCAAGGACACGCATGGCTGTCTGTCCTCCGGCTGCACTTGGCGGGAAAGCTAGGGGCCGCCGGCGGGGCTGAGCGCCAGCGGCTCTCATTACCGCCTCCCTGCTCCCCCCGGGCCGTATTTACATACGGGCCACTCGTCTGAATTTTTACGGCACTCTTCCCCCCTCCCGCACCCGGTCGCACGCGCGCAGGCTCGGAACTACCACCCGGGCACGCAGATACCCGCGCCCACGATGCGGCCAGCCCCAGGCGCGCAAACAGGCCCACAGAGGCAGACGGCACTCTGCGGGACGGATTCCTGCACCGCCTCCCCGCAATCCCGTGCCCACACCCCTGGCAGCCTCCCCGCTTGTGTTGCAGGAAGCCCACCTTACCCTCGAAGCCCCCACCCTTCTCTGTCGTCTGCACACTTCCACCCCCACCCTCCCACATCTCTCCGTCTCTCCCTGGAAGACAGGCGCGCGGAGGCGCGCGCGCGCGCGCGCACACACACACACACACGCTTTTTCTTCCTCCTCAAATAGATAACCCCTATGGCGCGTCCCTGGTACCTTTAGAATAGCTCTAGAGTTTAGAGAATAAAAATCTTGAGAATGCATTTCTTGTCTTTAGCCAAACACATTTAACAACCACGATACAAACAGGGGAAGGAGTGAAGAAGGGGGACTTGAACCAGAAGACCTTTAAAAAAAAAAAAACAAGTATGCGAGTCAAAAGGTCATTCTCCAAGTTTGTAAATAAAATTGCAAAGAGAGTCCTTAAGAAAGGAGAGGAAAGAAGGGGAAGAAGGTTAGGAAGACTCACAAGTTACATAAAACGGTTCTTTGGAAAAACGACAGGGCGATTCTTTATTAAAAAAAAAAAAAGAAGAAGAAGAATCTTAAGAAACCAAGAGAGGAAAAAAACTGGAGGAAAAAAGAAAAAGAGAAGAAAAGGATGTTTAAAAAACGCAAAAGAAGTTTCCAAAGAAATGTGTGCTTTGCATCCTACAATAGGAAAATGTAGCCATTGCCTTCCTTCAGACGAGACATTTCTAATTTGTTCCGTCTGTCAGGAGGGGACTGTGAGAGGTTTGGGTGCAAATTCATTATCTCTGGCAACGCAGAACGTAGTGTGGGGACTGAAAAAGACCGTGGCAATGGATGAACAATAGGGCTTCAGTTCATCAGTAACAAAAGCAGTGGGGAAATTGGTTGAGTTTCAGAGCACGTCCTCCTCGGCAGAGGGGGCTGGACTAGACCTTGGACAGCCCCCCCAAAAACTTGCCAAGCCTCGCACACACCACTTCACTCTCCACTCCGAGGCTCAGGGAGCAAGTGCCTGGCATGGGGGGGAAAAGTTGGCTTTTTTTTTTTTCCTCCTTGGTCTTTTGCTCCCTTCTCCCTCTCCCCAGAAGGGAAGACCCATTTAAACTATTTTAGACGCAATCAACCAAGAATCACCATGTGGAATTGAGCGGCAGTTTTAAATGTGCTGAGCAGAGGAGAGGAATGATGAGAAAAACACATTTTTTTTTTTTTTTTTTTCTTTGGAGACGCCGAAAGGAGCCTGTTTGTGTGCTGCGGCCGTGCTGTGACTCTGGATCTTGTCTTTCAGCCGGCGCCTCGGTTCCTGCCCAGCTGGATTTGGGGGGCAGCATTTCCTGGCGCAGGGAGATGAAGTGAGTATCGTGGCGGCCCTCAGGCTGCAGCTCGCCGGCGGCGTGAGGCCAGCAGTGCCTGCCGCGGCCCCGCGCCCGCACTCCTCACCTCGCCCGCTAGCCGGTGCCCGCAGAGCCCCGCTGCGGGCCGCTCCGAGGGCCAGTCCGGGGCTTTGCTTCAGCTAATTGATTGTGTGCCTCGGATGTTAAACCTGTTGATCTCGTGAGTTTTCTGAGCCAGTACTGTTAATTATCCAGCGGCTTGACCCCCAATCGCAGAGAGATGCCAGGAAATCTTCGCGTTGGAAAAGGGAATTTTTGTATGTAGTTTTGTGATGGTGGTGGTGGTGGTGGGGGTTTCCCTTTTAAACCTAGAACAAAATGCACTTGTATTTTGCGCTTCTGGATTCGAATTCGCATTTTGAATAATTCGCCTCCCTTTAACCGCCCCCAAAGTTGCAATTACCTGGCAAGGAAGCGAGGGTCTGATTCGATTTTGGTGGAAAACTTAGTACAGTAGCTAACTAGATCTGGTGGCTTTCCACTTCCCTTTTCTCTTTGCCTTTTGAATTTTGGGAGGTGAGAGGCCGCTTTACAGGGTTATCCCAAGTTGAGATTCATCAAGATGCAACCATCGTGGTTAGTTATTGGTACTTGGAGCGGTTCAGCTTAAGACGCTTCTGGTATCCAAACGGAGCTGGGTCTTTGCGATTTGCTTAGAGTCTAGACCCGGCTGTGGAAGGCAAGAACTCCTTTCTGTGGCCTGGAATTATCTGCAGGAACCCAGGGTGATGGGAACTCGGGCAATGTATTTGCATTAGTGTCTGCGGCGTTTTATCTTGCAAATGTACCCGCGGTGCTTGAATGGGGGACTGTCTTGAGAGGTCAGGAGAGCAGTGGAATTGATCAGAAGTTAGACCGGAGGCTCTGTCAAGTCACGGCCACGGCCAGGGGCCGCTTTGGAGCTGTGGCTGCCTTGGGCCCAGAACCGCAGAGTCGGATTCCGTTTCCTCCCTTTCTTGGTGTCCACCTCTGCCCACCACCCTCCTTTCTCCACCCTGGCACCGGTAATTAGGGCGCTGTCTCAGGAAGCGAGCTCCCACAGTCAGCGTAATTAAACCAGGGCAATACTTTCATTTTGCAAAACCAATAGCCCCACCCCTCCAGTCCAAAATAACAATACGCATAAAAAATCATAAAAGAAAAGCAACCTATTTGGGGGAGTATTGAATTCCTGAATCTTGGATCGAGAGGGAATGGGGGAAGGGAATTTTTCAAAAATCCACCACTTTACAGCAATCAGGTTTTACATTATTCATTGATTTACTGAAGGAAAGAGCCAATCAGGAGCCATAGATATGAATGCACATCTCACTGTGCTGTGGCCTTCCAGTAAACTATTTGCATCTTTCTAATGGAGTAGATATTTATCCAGGGATTCCCATTGTTCGAAAGGCCTGGAAATTCAGTTCCTTAAACATTTAGAAAATAAGGCTGTTCCAGACTTAAAATCCTTACATGGAAAGACTCTCTTCTTTTGTATGGCAGGTTACAAGGTTCAAGTCCCTAATGTTTTTTTAAGAGTCCCTCTTCCTTCCAAGCTAAAAATAAAAGAAAAGAAGAAAGAAAAATTAATTTCTCAAACCCCTCCAGATTCTGCATATTTTGCATTCACATTATCATGCATGTCTCCATTTAAATGCAAATTAGCATATTTAACCCTGTGGGTGCTGAGACCCAGGATACATTGTACTGGGGTTTTATGGAATCTCTTGGCATTTTAAGGAACCATGGTAATAGCAATATTTTAAATGAAGCAATAGCTACATGACTTTATTCATATATATAAAAACTGTGATCATTTGTTTTCTGGACTGTTTTTCAGATGAGACTGCAAAGAAGCATAAATGAATAGACAATCCAACCAACCAAAGGTAATTTTGAAATTTACATTTGATAAAATCCAAGTGATGTACAAAATAGAGTATTATTTACTGGGTGGCAGGCCTGCAGTGGGTTGCATATCTCCTAATTCATGCTCTAAGGTTCTGTATGTGCAGCCTTCTCCTCTGCAGGGAGCCTTTGTATATTATGTATCAAGCATAATACAAATATAACCTGTAACTGCCCATAAAAAAGAAATTTGAGATACAGAGTAAACAATAGTATACTTTTGTTAGAAAGTAAGCCAGTCAGGTACCTTGCCTGAACTATACAAATCACTGTAAATTAAATGGCTTTTATGTAGAAAATGGTAGTCTTGACTGTACTAGTGGACTGTGGTTTACATGCATTTGAATCATACAAACCAAATATTAAAAGGGGATCTCAGTGATAGGTCAATTCTTCATGTACTTTACAGTAATCTGAATAGGATTCAGAGGTGTTCCAAATATTGGTGACAAACCTAATGCATTTGAATTTATGAAATAGCGTAATTCTGATCCAAATAATGTGGAAAACCTAACTTTTCACTTTTAATTTAAACAGAGACTGTTTACTCCCAAGTAAACCAGAATGTTTCAATTCATGTTTCAGCCATCTGGAGACCTATAAAAAGATTAGAAAACAAGCATGACAATCACGTCCTAATCTACTGGCCATTAATGGGAATTTATTAGTGAATGAGCAGGCAAACCATTTAAATTCAGTATATCCTTCAGTATGCAGATTTCAAAATGGTATTCTGCTCAGCTTAATAGCTTTTTGAAAGCAAAAATATCTGATATAACATGTAGGTGTTAATAGTTGCTCTTAGTATGTGACAGATATTGCTAGGAATCTTTAGGGCTACACAATTGTTTCAACTTGTGTCACATCCTGTATAATAATACAGTCTTTGAAATATGTATGGTAAACTATCATGTAAACTTTGGCAATATTCAAAATAATCAGATGCTCTGTGTTAAACCTTCCTGTGTAGTTTTTATTTCTGCATATCCTGAGAGATGGTAGAGAGTAAAATATTTAATTGGCTATCTGGCTAATGAACAGACTGCCTATAATCCTAATGTTGGTTCATTTTACTTATTGGGGCTCCCACGATGAGTCTATGTCATATGTGCCAGGCATGGGGACCAGGCCTAGAGTCCAGTTGATATGACTATGTGGCATTGCCCTAGAATATGCTATTTTAAGACAGTATCTTCTATAGCTTTTAATTGTAGAAGCATATCAAATGTTCAGTGTCTTGGCTTTCATGATGGGTACTTTGGTTTTAAAAATGCATTTAGTTGCTAAGTGTGGAAATATAGCCCTGTTACTTTGCAAATTCACACAGATATGGGGGTGATAAACGTACACAGACAAATGCATGACATCTCTTTGCTTCCACCAACCCCCACCCAGGTATATATAAAGCAAAAGGATATTCTAAAAATATCTGTCATCTGACCACATGCTTGCTTTAAGTAATACATGCCAAATCACTAATGATTCTGCATCTGTGTCTTGGAAAGCAAGGCCACAATACTCTCACTCTTCCAAGGCGGCAAAGCTCATTACTGTTTGACATAATGTCTAAAGTGAAATGTGCCTCAGTGATATGTTACATTTTTATTTAGTAGTTTATGTTGTGACCAGATAGTTCAAGAAGGAACAGTAACTTCATGGAGGTGTGTTTCTCTGAATTAGTTTTTGGTTTGCTTGTGCATTTTATGTATAACCCAATGCAGCCATTTCTGATTGTACCTCTTGTACCATAATTTGATAAGAAAAATAGATGAACAATTTCAAGAGCTTAGTCTTTTCAAAATAATCAGTACTGGAATGTTTACCAAAAAAGTAAAGAAATAAAAAATCTTGGGAAACGC